AAGGGGAAAAATCCTTCTTGGCCCCAGAATGGCAGTCAGATCTCTTCTTGGATCAAGAAGCTACAACCCCACAAATTAAAAATATTATGATTTTGAAATTATTATTATTGCCATTTATATAGCTCAACAGATTCCGCAGTGTTTTCATCCATTTTATGTTTAAATATCTGTACAGATTCTGATAATTCCGTATCCTTATTGTTTTTACTGTAAAACCCTTTCCTTTGCCTTAGACCAAATCTCCTTTCTTCCAGTCTAAATGCGCGACATTGTGTCCTACGTATATTCCGGTTTATGAATAGATTCATAAACTGTTTGTATTGAATATATTTGTATAATGCTATCATATGCCTCCTGAGGCACCATTTTTCTAAACAAAAAAAAATGTACATTTGTTAACCTTCATAACTAAAATGCTCAATTTCTTTTATAAATTTTATAGCCCAACCTCTGCACTTTTTCTAGTGCAAAAAATATACTTCTTTAGAACAGGTGCCCAAAATTGCACATAATATTCAAGGCGTGGTCTTAAAGATGCAAAATTATATTTTCAAGATGAGAATTAATGCTCCTTTTTATACTAGTAGAATACAGATAATCCAAACTAAATACACATGCTGATGGTACCCAATGACCTCTTAACACTACTGTCAGCTAGATGTAATAAGTGATTTTATAACCTGCTGGTGTTGAGGTCTTGCTCTGCCTCACTTTGGTAGATTATTTTAGCTACCCTTTACTTAAGCTGACAAGTGAAAAAAATGAATTGTTCCAAACAAGCCTGCCAAGCTACCAGCTGAAATTGTCAGTGATATCAGACACATTCTGCTCTCTACATTGCCATTTTTGTGTTGCTCAATAGAGCAAATACTTGCAAAGCTACCTACATAAAACCCTCACCGAACATCCCTATAACAACAACTAAACATCATAACTGATGCTCTGTCCTTTTTAACTAGGGTCAATAACTAAACATCGACAATCAACACAATATGGTATACAATTGCTCATGTGACTTTAGAAAACATTTTCTGTATTGAAAATATATATTCAGATAGTATAAAGTGGAATAAGGAAAAATACCCTAAAACATCTAGCATAAACACTGCCATATAGTTTTTACCTGAACTAGGATCTAGTGATAGCAGTCATTGTGCATGGTGTCTCGCATACAAATTCACTAACACCACTAGGTCATACTCTGGTCCCCAACAGTTATATGTATATTCTCCAAGAAAACCTCAAATACAACAAAACCCATTCAAATGTACATTTTGTGTAAATACTATTATTTCAGTGCTCTTAACACAATGGGCCACCACAGAATCACATACAGTTTAAAGGAACACTCTGGGCACCATAACAATGCAATCAAATTGAAGTTGTTATGGTGCCAGGAGGTCCCTGGTGCTGACTCAACTTAAGATGTTGAACCATTCTCAAATTGTTTAAGGCCAAAGTCTGTGTACCAGTGCTATAATCACTCTGTCTCTCTGTTCTTCCGTTTTCTCAAAAATCAGGAAATTACAAAGACTCTTACAGAATCGGGCAGTGGCACTGTTGATTGGCTGAGAGCATTCAGCTTAGGCTGTCAGCCAATCAGTGAATCCCAGTTCATAAAACTGGCTTGAAAATTTTTTTACCCTTTTGAAAGCCAGTTTTAATGAGAAAGGTTTAACCCCTTAAGCTAAGTCAACCCCAGGGACTTCCTGGCACCATAACAATTTAACTTCAATTAAGTTGTTATGGTACCCAAACTGGTCCTTAAATTGTGCAGAAAAACATGGGGAAGTCAGGCCATCTATCATAACACACAATACAAAATCACATTCCACATTACCAATACTGTACATCCGGTCAGCACATTCAACTATCACGCTAAAGTAGCACTACACTTCTAGAACACCGGAGTGCATTCAGTGCACATTGATCTAATGCGGATATTGACGCAAAGCCATGAAACTACTCACTACCATGGCAGTCATTCCAATACTGAACATGACATCAAACTGATCATACCAACATCACATTATACATAGATATGTAGGCTGAAAAATAGGCATTCATCAAGTTCAGATGTTTTTACTACCAAAGTGCTGAAACTGCCACCACTGTACCATGTCGTATTAATGCACTAAATCGTTACTGTAACACTGCACAATATCAAACAAATGTGCACCCTGCAATGCTGTAACAATAGATTGCCTGTGCACTGCATGCTATTACTCTACCAACACACTGCACACTACCATCTGACTATTCATCTTTCCTTTAATGTACCATGACAGTGCATACAACCATCCCACTGTATTAAAACACAGCCATAACACAGACCACAACCATCCTGTACCACTGCCAGACTGTCGTTACCTTTCACTTTACTACTATAATGTCCAACTTGCTGTTTCTGTATCTGCCATTGCCCTAACAGACAGCCCAGCACACCGCAAGCCATTGCCCTCACAACCGGCGCACCGCAAGCCATTGCCCTAACAGTCGGCGCACCGCCTGCCATTGCCCTAACAGTCGGCGCACCGCCTGCCATTGCCCTAACAGTCGGCGCACCGCCTGCCATTGCCCTAACAGTCGGCGCACCGCCTGCCATTGCCCTAACAGTCGGCGCACCGCCTGCCATTGCCCTAACAGTCGGCGCACTGCACCCGCCACCAACCATTACACAAATAGCCTGCACACTCCATGCACCAACTGCCATTGCTCTAGTAGCAGACACATTGCATGCACTGCCTGACATTGCCCAAATAGCATGCACACTGCATGCAGTCTGTCATTACACTAATAGCCAACATAATGCATGCAAAGTCTGCCATTATATTAAAAGCCAGCACACTCAATACACTGCCTGTCAGTACACTTATCAACAGCAGTAAACTACATAAAGCTACATGTGCAGCCTGTCATTACACTAATAGTCATCACATTTCAAACCAACAGACCACACTTAACGCAAAGTCTGCCAGTGCACCGCATGCACATCCTGCCAGCGCACAGCACAACACAAAGCATGCACAGCCTGCCATCACAATAATGGCCAGTACACACTGCATGCACAGCCTGCCATCACAATAATGGCCAGTACACTGAACAATAACAGACATTGCACTCCATACACAGCCTGCCAGCACACTGCACTGCATACACAGCCTACCAACACACTGCACTTGCCAACACACTGCATACACATCTTGCCAACACACAAAACAAAGCATGCACAGCCTGCCACCACAATAATGGCCAGCACACGCTGACACACTGCATGCACAGCCTGCCACCACACACTGCATGCACAGCCTGCCACCACACTCTGCATGCACAGCCTGCCACCACACTCTGCATGCACAGCCTGCCACCACACTCTGCATGCACAGCCTGCCACCACACTCTGCATGCACAGCCTGCCACCACACTCTGCATGCACAGCCTGCCACCACAATAATGGCCAGCACACACTGCATGCACAGCCTGCCATGACAATAGTGGCCAGTACACACTGCATGCACAGCCTGCCATCACAATAGTGGCCAGTACACACTGCATGCACAGCCTGCCATCACAATAGTGGCCAGTACACACTGCATGCACAGCCTGCCATCACAATAGTGGCCAGTACACACTGCATGCACAGCCTGCCATCACAATAGTGGCCAGTACACACTGCATGCACAGCCTGCCATCACAATAGTGGCCAGTACACACTGCATGCACAGCCTGCCATCACTGTAATAGCCATCACAGGGCTACATGAATGCTCAGTATTGAATTGGCCGACCATCTTACAGGATTGTTCAGACACACACAGTATCCAGGCACTGCCTGCCAGTGATGGCTGATCTCTGACACTCTTGCTGTCATGGACCATGATCCTCATAACAATCAGTCACCATGGCTGGATGGGTCTCATGGGAATCGCGGCTGGCTTACAGGGGAGGAGTGGCTGAGCAGCCAGAGGACAGCCATGGAAATGATACCCATACCCGGTGATACCCAGCTCCCCCGTACCTTGCGGCGGTCCTCCAGCCGGTGCCCTGCTCGGACAGACAGAGACCCTCTGTGCGGTGCAGACAGGAAGCCCTCCCTGTGCCCAGCTATGGTGAGGAGGGGAGAGGTACAGCCAGCCGAGCTGGGAGGGAGGAGGGAGGGCGGGGAGTGGATGCAGTGCGCATGTGCGGCTCACTGTGCGAGCAACGGGGGCCATACGGAGGGGCGGGGGGGACAAAATCAACCGCCTGCGGCACACGCCTGGCTGAGAGCACGAGGTAACCCCTGCACCGCTGGCTGGGGTCAATCATACTGCGACTGCCCACTGTGTCAACGGAGATTAGCATCTCAGCATTCTACAGCGACTATAACCACTGGAACTGGTCCAGAATGAAACCACCCATTGCTGTGTGGCAACAGGAGGACCACTGATATAGGGAAACACTGAGCTGGGGAACTATTAACTGCAGCTAGTTATTATTATTAGCATTTATATAATTTATTCAGCAGCGCTTTACAATATAATAAAGGGAGAAATTAACAATAAATGGGAAAATTACAAACTGTTACAAGAACAATAGGTTGATGAGGACATTGATCAAACGAGCTGTATTTAGGACCATTTACAAATAATTTATTTAAAAAAAAAATAATAATTTGGAGTCTGGTATTATATGCTAAACGCATTAAAA